GATTATTTCAAAATATTAAGAAATACTATGAAATACATGAACTATTTAGGAAACAACGAAAAATTTAACATAATTTGATCCCAAAGTACTGTTAACTTTAAAAAATTTAGCAAAGCAAATGAGGAAAGAGAACGTTAGAGCTTTACATAAGAAGAGACTTACAATATATACGATTATGACTTCTTTTAAAAAGGTTTTAAATTTTTTTAATGTCAGGCTTCTATGATACTTTTTTTATGCGATGATCTCTATTTTGGGAAGACTTATCGTTCCATACTTAGGCGGCTTTCATAAAATAAAACGACCTTTATATGGTACTAGATCCAGAAAAGGCAGAAGACTAAACATGAAATAAATATATTAGATCAGATAAAATGATCAAATCTAAATTAGTAAAAGATCCTGAATTGCACAAAGGTGTGAAAAATTAAGAAAGGAATACGAGTACATTTAGATGATATTATGGAAATAGAGAGTAGGCAAAACTAGATAATGGGTACTGGCAGAGGTTAGAATAATCTAGGATGTTAATTGTTCTCGAATATATCTATTAACATATAATTTTTTATGCGCCATTACCGCATAGACACATTTGTATTCTTTTTAAACAACAGCTTTCCTTATCCTCGAGCATGTGAAGTAAACATTAGGCCACCAGCAAATTCATAAGATGCCTCAATAAGAGCAATCTTCCCTCGGGTTCAGATAAGTACAATTTACAGATCCTACTTTTTCGAATAAAATAAGGAGCACACTATTACGAATTCTACGAAACATATTTTCTCTAAATAGCCAAGAAAGCTTATTTTAATTAGCATAATATCAGTAAGGTAATTTTATAATCTAAAAAATTGAAATTGCTGCTAGGTGTGTAAGAGTTAAAAGCTGTGGATAGAAATTTTTTATTTGGTACTAGTTCGTTGAAAATCACAACCAATTAATTTTTAACTGTATGTCAATAGATAATGAAAATAATCTCACAGGAAATTCTTTGTATGTATAAGTATATAAAAGATAATTTAAATACTAATAATTACAGACAGACTAGATGTTCCTTTGTCTCATTAGTTCGTCTAACTTTTTTAATTATAACAATACTTTAGAATGAAATGATACCCAATTTTCTGTAAATGCAAACCTTTATCTTCCAACTAAGAGCAGACAAAATAAACTACGATTTGCCCTTTATTTCGTATTGTTTTGCTAATCCGAACTCAATTATTAAAGGATAGATTACGTATAGATAATAAAATGTAAGGTGGAAAAACTATGGATTGAGACATGGTAACAAATGTGTAGAAATCACTTTAAGTCCAAAACGATATTAGTAGAAGTTGCGTAATATCCCCTGTTTAAAATAGGCATAAGAATGACTGTCATAAATTGTAAGAAACAAATTCTATATACAATTATTTTATATAAAAATTTTTATTAATTCTTAAGTAATGTGTGAGCTATAGATTTGTACTACAAGTAAGCTGTGGTGGCCATTATTCTGTATACGCAGTATCGAAATAACTTTTAATAATAAATTTTATGTTCTATGAAAACTCTAATAATTGAGTGATTCTATATTTAACAAACTGTAATTTATTTACGATCAATTTTCTGCAAAATAACTTATAAAAATATTGTCCGTTATAAATTAATTTTTAAAAAAACGTATGTTAATACGTAATAAGCATGATTGTAATGTTTTATTAAGTTTGTATATACATTAAAAATTGTTTTAATATTTAATTTTTTGGTTCATAACTCACTGCGTATCTTAACTCGTCTAACGACCGTTTATCTATGCAGTTTGACTTTTCTATTCATTTATTGCTTCCTGAAGCTATAACTTCATTAACTTCTAATACTTTAGCTAAATATAGTAACGTTATATTTATATCAAACTTCGTTTTAGCCATGAAAGTCCGCCGCATTGATTCAAATGTTGATAAACTAGCGTATGTTTTGAACCAAATGGGACAAGCTTCAGCTAAAGTTATAGAATTTTACTATTATACTTTTAAGGCTCAGAAATTAAACCATCCAGTCACTTCATATGATAAATTGAGGGTTAGCAACCATACACTTTATCTTCTTCGCGATACTTCTGTCAAGTACTATAACTATCTATAGTTTATTTAATTAGAAATGTTATAATTGGAATTCTCAAAGTCGGAAAAAAAGTTTTATTTTTATTTGATAATAATGGTATCTGTCATGAGAATGAACAATTTTGTGTTCTTGACTTTTATGTTCATGAATCCTTGCAGCGAAGAGGGCATGGTAGAACACTATTTGAGTTTATGCTAAAGGTAAATTGTATCTTATTTATTTTAACTAATATCCCGCTATTAAGTTTGGTGGAAATATGTAACCTACAAATATTGATAAGTGATTTGTCATTATTCAACAGAATTTTTACTTCTTTACTGTTACAAAGCATCAAGGAGTAACTCCCAAAGATTTGGCTATCGATTCACCGTCTTCTAACTTCTTGAGCTTTCTTAAAAAACATTACCAACTGGATGTATTGATAAAGCAAAATAATTTTGTCTTGTTTGGATACTCTTTCTTTGCTCATCCGATGGTATGAGAAACTTTATAGATTTAAATATTGATCTCCTATGGTAATAATTGATATATTTTTAGATTTATCGAGAGTATTTCCATAGCCGTTTTGTATTTTTTAAGATTACTATTATTAGGTTAAATTGTCATTTTTTAGATAAATGTTAATTCTCATAGAAGCTGTTACTTTATATTGTTGTTTTTTAACTCAATTGCCAATCTTGTACTGCTTGTTATCTATATGTCCTTAAGGTTTTAAAATATATGAATCTAAATATATCTTAATTTTTCGTCGTCTGGCATATAATTCACTAAGATAGAATGTAAGAACTTACTATTACTTATTTAATTAAAAGCCTAATTTCCTTATCC